TTTGGAGACATAATTTTTATTGATAAAATATATTATATATCAAACTATGTAAATTTTAGATAATTCACGGGTAGTTTGTTAAAATCACAATTATAATGATAAAACGAGTTACGAATAATGTTTTTTACGAAATGAATTCTGTTACAAGGTTGGCTTTCAAAAAATATATTGTAAGTATGTAATTTTTATGTATATTCCTACTTTTACTACAAAAATGGTCAAAATGAATAATTTATCGACAAATATTATTTCTATCTGTTAAATTTTCACCGTGTTTTTAATTGTATCAAAACTCAGTATATGATTATTTACTCGCTTTTTCCTTTATTATTTTATTTAATCTTATTATACAAATATATGATTTACCGTAATCATATATTTACTGCACTCTAACAAAATTAAAATGTATCATATTCTAATCCGATAAAAGTTATATATATGTAATTATTTCCCCCGTGCTGTAGCGCGGGTCCGAACCTAGTAATATCCTATAATATATTAACTGTAATTAAGATATATATAACTTACGGGGAACAAAAGAAGAATAACCCAAGTGAAGAAAAGTGGACCAAGCAAGGAGGCAATGTCTTGAGTGTTTTTAGTTACTTGTTTTGGAACTTCTTTGACAAACTCAAATAATATCTTTGTCCCCAGGCCTTTTAGAAACTTAAGATAAGCATTTGATATCTGCAAGGAAAAATTATATATAGGAACGTAATTGCACGATTAGAAAATGTCTTGAGAAGGTACGTTTCACGATGCATGGTGTAATTTGTTACCAGATTGATAGAGCGGGGAACTCGGAGCAGCTTTGCACGCCCGTCAGACTCATTATCTTTGTAGCTTGAGTTATACCATATGGTCACATTGAAGTTTTTCCTATCCGTGCTCATGAGATCGTATGCTAATTTAAGGCAATGGAAATGGTAGACGTAAACAAACGTTTAACATGGTATGTCTGTGTGCCTCATACACATTCAAACCCATAGAACAAGTCTGAGAAAGAAAAGAAAAAGAAAAAGTAAACGACATAATTGAACAAACCTGCAGCGACCTCATTTGTCATCCCCGCAGGGTTTCCCCTCCTACTACCATTGAAAAGCTCATCATTGACCTCTACAGAGTTATTTCTCCAGAGACACAACCCTTGAACACACGTCACCTCTGAGATATACACATGATACAAATCATCAAAATTGAAGAAGAAAATGCATTTCTCACGTCAAAATTATAAGTTACCTGTTTTTCTTCCTCCGATTGAGAGTGGCCATGTAGAGTCTTTACTACACGAAGGTTGGATACTGTAAATTGGGAAAGCAGTCCCTGGATCTTCATAATTGTCTTTGCCTGCTCCTATTGTTGAACCCTGGAGAAGTCATCATCTCTTGAGAAAATCATCATGCACGCACTACTACACTTAGAGAGAAAGAGACATACCAAGACGTTATAGGCTAAAGTAGGCAAGAGGTCAGAGGAATTAACCACAAAAGAAGTGCTCAAGATATTCGCGGATAAAGCTTTTCCAAGGGATAACTTATCACCAGTGACAAGTATCGTTACAGGACACAATCCTGTTTCTCTGCATGACTTGTCAGGGAGGTCTCTGTAGGGAAAGAAATCGGCCTTAACAGATCGGAGTCCATTTTCTGGAATCTGCAACATCGGAGGCAACATTGGAGGGTTTGGGATGGGGCATATACTACCAAGTAAACTAGCGTTGCTTTCACAGTTATTAGACATTTCAGATACACTCTTCATCAAGGCATCAAGAACTTTTTGAATCGCCAGCAGAATTAAGCAGAGGAAAAGTGGAACCAAGATGAGCCGAACATTCGTCCATATGTGTTTCCTCTGCCATTTCAGGGCTCAAGCTATTAGATTTATATAGTTCCTTGTTCAACACAATTATATTAAACCCTTTTAATTCTTAGAAACTTCCTGGAGACGACATTGAGATATATACCTGGTAGGTTAAATTCTTCCTAAGTAACGCATTGGCTTGCGTCCAAAAACTTGCCGGACTAGTATTCGCCATTAATTGATGAAGAAACAAAGAAGCTTAGGTAGTCTCACTTTTGTTGTGTTCCCAAAAAAAAAAAAAGAAAAAAAAAATTAAGTCTCACTTTATCGTCAATTTCTTTTTCTTGCCAATTAAGTAGTTTCTTCTTTTAACCTTGAGCTTGTTTTTCGTGCAAAAAATGTGGTCCCAATTAAATGTTAAAAAAAAATGAGGTCTCAGTTTCACATAAGTTAAGGATGAAATTTAGTCAACCTGAAAAATTGGAAACAAAAGAAGGATGTTTTTTTTTTTTGGTTCTAATATTAGGAAATCCTTTTTTTTTTTTTTTGGTTTTGTGTGGGGGTGAGGGAACTTATTAGATAATAAAAAATTTTGTATTTTCCTAAACACAAGTTTTTTACAGGAAAAACAAAAATTCTGGTAATGGTTTTGAAAGAAGGCTGGGCGCTTCTCTACCAACAGTTCACGGCGTTGTTCAGGAAGAATCTATTGCTTTCATGGAGGAACAAGAGAGCCACGTGTCTTCAACTCTTCTCTTCATTCGTCTTTATCCTTCTCATATTTTGTATAGAGGAAGCCATGAAGGCAAGCGAAGCATCCTCAACAGCGTACAAGAATGTCACTGATCCTACGCTGTTGGTTTCCCCGCCGATTCTTCCTTGTGAGGAAAAGTTCTTTGTGAAGCTCCCTTGCTATGACTTCGTGTGGAGTGGGAACCATAGTCGCCGCCTGGCTGATATCGCCTCTGCTATTATGGCTAACAATCCAGGGAGACCAATTCCAACCAACAAGGTATACATACATTGTTTAATATCCTTTCTTTACGATTGTTGTGTGATTAACATGCATGCATGTGATATGTTCAGGTTCAATCTTTCAAGGATCCTAAGGAGGTGGATGCGTGGCTTCTTTCACATCCGTTGCAAGTTCCCGGAGCTTTGCATTTTGTGGAAAGGAATGCTACAGTAATCAGCTATGGTATTCAAACAAATTCTTCCGCGGAGAGAAAACGTGGTCAGACTGAAGATCCAACGTTTAAATTCCTTGTTCCTCTTCAAGTTGCTGCAGAGCGCGAAATCGCAAGATCCTTGATTGGAGGTACATTTATATACCAACGTCCAATCTAGCTTTTTGGTTAACTCTTTAACCAACTTTTCCTTTTTTCCTTTTCACTTGTATTGTATTCATTTTCCAGATCCAAAGTTTAGTTGGGGTTTTGGATTTAAGGAATTTGCGCGTCCAGCGCTTGCGGGTGAAAGTATCTCTGCACTCTCAGGCATGGGACCATTGTTCTTTCTTGCTTTCTCCATGTTTGGTTTTGTTCTCCAGCTTGGTTCTCTGGTTACCGAGAAAGAGCTAAAACTTCGGCAGGCAATGACAATGATGGGTGTTTATGATTCTGCATACTGGCTGTCATGGCTAGCATGGGAAGGAATCCTTACCTTTGTCTCCTCTCTTTTCTTGGTCCTCTCTGGAATGATGTTCCGCTTTGACTTTTTCTTGAAGAACAGTTTTGCTCTTGTCTTCCTACTTTTTTTGCTTTTTCAGTTGAATATGGTATGAACCGTACCTTCTTATATTCTAATTACCTACTTTCTGTTAATTTCTCTTATATATATTAGATGTTCCTCTACTCCGGCATTTTAAGTTATCTATTAATCGTACGTGGTGCTAGATTGGCCTAGCGTTCGTGCTCTCATCTTTCATTACCAAATCATCTTCGGCAACAACTGTTGGTTTTCTTGTTTTTCTAGTTGGTTTTATCACACAGGTTTGGTTTCTCTAGCTAAACTAGTGAACTGGCTGGTTTGTCAAATTAAATCTTGAAATACTTACTTAGTTGCAATTCTAACTGCAGATTGTATCAGCTACTGGATTCCCTTATTCCAGCATATATGCAGCTTCTCGCCGGGTCATGTGGTCTCTTTTTCCACCCAACACTTTTTTTGAGGGTCTTAAGCTTCTTCTTGATGCAACTTCCACTCCCACAAGCTCTGGAATTAGCTGGAGTAAAAGAGCCGTATGTAAAGGGAACCAAGAAACTTGTGTAATTTCTATTGTATGTTAACATTCAAAATAGACTTTCCTACATTACTAGTTACGTTGTTTAATAACATTCTCAAACATCTTTTTTTTTTTTTTTGGGTAGAACATTGTATTCCAATGGCTCCTTGGGACATTCCTATTATGGTTTGGTCTGGCTATCTATTTTGACAATATAATTCCCAACGCGTCTGGTGTAAGAAAACCAATCTTCTACTTTTTAACACCTGGTTATTGGACTGGCAAAGGAGGCAACAAAGTGGAAGGTACTTTCTCCTCCCACCCCTGATCACTTAAGAAATATATATATTCTTTCTGTTGGAAAACATATGTAAAACATGTTTCTACACTTTACAGAAGGTAGCATTTTTAGCTGTATTGGTTCAGTTCCACCCGTGGAGCATACTACGCCAGAGGACAAAGATGTGCTTGAAGAAGAGACGGAAGTTAAACAACAAGCCATGGATGGAATAGTTGATCCTAACATTGCAGTTCAGATTCATGGTCTTGCAAAGACATATCCTGGAACAACCAAGCTTGGATGCTGCAAATGCATGAAAACTTCGCCTTTTCATGCTGTAAAGGTATATATTCTTTTATGTTCATTCCATTGCAAAGTATAACATTGTAGATTTGTAGTGCGTGTGTGTTCTATCTATGCCAAGGCTATTCAACAAGTTCTAATGTTCATTGTTCCACTTGATATCCAGCATGCATGAAATGTATTAC